GCAGCTCAGTATGTCTATCCTCGTGTATCCTCATATCTAGGACTAGTTGATAATGTATTCCAAAAGACAAAAGATGTACAGTAGAAATAATCATTTGACTAGTGGACTAAATTATGAAAAATTCAGCACTGACCAGTCGACCGCTGCCTCCTACTTGTATCCTCCAAAGGTTTAACAACAAATATGGAGAGAGGGAATAGTTTTGTAGAAGTTGTGTTTATCCCTTCTCCTCTCTCAGTCAGGTGAGCTGCCCTTACTCAGAGCTGAACCTGAACAAAGACAGTTTGCTGCCGGATCGCCTCAGTGGCGAGCGACCCGTAACCCTGAGTGGCCCCCTGCCCCGAGGACGACGCCCTGATGCCCCAAACGCACAGCCTTCCTCTGCCTACGAGACGCTGGAAGGAGCTGACGACTCCCACAACAGGTGACATGCACACAAATTTACACAAATCTACTCTTTACACCCGAGATAGCACATATGCTAAACAGTCCAAATATCTGCCTGTCTATCTGCTTTCAATTTCCAACCAAGGCCGATATTTTGCTTTGGCCCACCTGCTCCCTAGACATAATGCTTTATTTGAACACTTTTGTGCAAAGAGATGATATCTCAAAATCTGACTACATAGTTCTCTGATAAGTTTGTGGTGTGAGTTTGTAGTAAATTTAAATTAAATAATTTGAGGAAAATAATCAGATTCAGCCAAAAATGTCAGCAGAATTTATCGGCCATCTGTTGCTCTGGACAAACAATCTATATCACCATTGGCTATAAAAAATAAAAAAAATCGATCAATGTCTAGGATAAACTGTCAGTCATAAGCAGCGTTCGCACTTGTTCTGGTTGGATCCCAGTTTAGTCTTGAGGTAGACTTGGATTACTCCTGGGTTGGATTCACTTTTAGTCCCAGTTAAGTTCTGGTTTTAATGTGGTGAATGAAGCCATATACATGATTCCTGTGGAGATGATCAGTTTACCAAATCTTGATAATGTTACGCATTTCGATCCAATCAATTGCAATAATGCCATTGTAAAAAATCTGTTTTGAATGATCCGTGTGCTATTTTGCTCTTTAAAACTCTCCTAAAAGCTGTAAATCCTGTTAATATGTTGTGTGGGTAGTATATTTTTTAAGTTATAATGAGGGTTTAGTTCATTACCATTATTGAATGATTGTAATTTTATTTTATTTTGACACTGATATTTAATTTTAGGTTTCTTAACTTTTTGTAGATGAATAAAAGAGTAACTCTGAAATCGCAAAATGTTGCTGATCATAAATCTATTCTTCCTCCTCCTTGACTTCTGTCAGCGCATAAATAATGGAGATACATTTTCCCTCCGTAACAAAGCCGCCATATTTCCGTTTATATCACACATTGTGCGATTTTAACAGAAGGAGGCTCTCAGATCTGTCAAAACGTATACATAGTTCGTGTTCTCTATTTGAGATTCACCCACACCCTCCCTGTTGGTCCCTGGAGCTTCCTCGGTGCAGTGCAGGCATCGCACTCCTCTGTTCCAGGTTTGAGTGGGTTTTCTGTGTTGCTAGGAAACCAGTGATGGAAGTAGAGCGCGGTGGACGTACTGGCCACCCGGAGCCAGCAGGGGGAGCCAGTGAGCAGAACCATGCTACATCCAGACCTAAACGGTATTGTACAGTCACTGTAAAATACACAGGGTTTAACTTTGACAGTTGGAGGCCTGTCACGATCATTTTTCTATCAACTTATCATTCAGTAAATGAAGCTGGAACTGTGTATTCTGGACCTCAACATTTATCAAGTGTGAATTTTCTTTACACAAGTAGGGTTTTTTTTTGTATTTTTATAAGATTATTTTATTTGCTGCAGCTTGGGTTTCATTTTTTTTTAACTATACTTTATTAGAAAAGGGTTTATCATACTTTCTGAGTGTAATAATATATAGCACTTCAATTGTTGTTACTGTGACAGGCATAGACACTGGCCAATTAGATTTTAATTTGGGTTACTGACTCTTTTTCTACACAAATGTTAGCCATATTTTGTAAGTTACATCTGATTCATGACTAGACATCAACCACAATCAATTTAAACATAACTTTTAATTAAACAAATACTTCTATCTGTAACTGATAAACTATAAATCAAAGCGTAACTACTGGTGTAATTATGGCTGGTCAGAATTCTGTTTGAATAAAAAAAAAGACATTGCCCAGTCAACCAAAAAAAAGTTATGTTGTTAAATGTTTTCAGGTCTGCCCCACCTCCAAAATACCTAAAGATGCACTATGTCAAAGAGGAGATTGGTGATGGCAAAGGTACGTGCAGTAACCGTTTAAATTATTATCTTATCTTATTGACACATTATTATAAAGCCTTAAAGGACCTATATTATGCAAAACTGTCTCTTATGAATGTTAAACCATGTTATAATGCTGTTATCTCCAGAGTTGTGGTTTGTTTTATTCACACGTTTGAGTAATCTGGAATTTTTAGGCCGTCTGCACCCTTAAAAATCAAGATGATTTGTTCGACCTTGTGATGTCATGAAGCAGTAGTTTTCAAGTGAACAGCTCCTTTTACGTTTAGTCCAGTAGAGATTGGCAGTTCCAGGGCTACAATTATTCTAATGATTCTAGTGAAGTTGTGTGGAGTTTAAACACAGAGTGGAGCACGAGGGAACAGCATTATAACAGATCAGAACATAATGTAATATGGGCTCTTTAAGGAATCTCCGGAACTAAAGTCTGTGTCCTCTTTGTAGCTTCTCCAGAGGAAATCTCCTTCCAGCAGGCGCTCCATGAGTCTGTGTTTTCCCCAGGCATCTCCGCCTCTCCCCCTCACCGAGTGGCCCTCTGCTGGGACAAACACTGCCAGCTGCTGCCCGAGGTCCTGGGGCTCACTGCCAAGAGAGTCGCCACTTGGAGCGCAGAGGAGGTCAGACATCAGCATGAGCATTTGTTTAGTGATTGATACTAATACTCTATCAATGATTTCCATTTTTTTTTCTGCTGAATATTTAGAGATTGATGCAAATGATAATATTTGTATTTTGATTCGTTTCAGGTGTCTGGTTTTGTGAAAGGATTGCCTGGATGTAAAGAACATGCTGCTACATTTAAAACAGAGGTGAGACATGTTTTCTAATACAGTTCTGATCTTTCATTGATCAATTATTTATTTCAAACTTCTTAATTGTTCAAATCCATTTTCACACATTACCGCCCTTGTCAACTTAATATTACAGTACTTATAATAACAAAACTTTTCTGTACCATTTGTACACTTACAATAAGGACAAACAAAAAAAGCTCGAAAAGGGAGTGGGAAGAAATCAGATTTTTTCCACTCCCACCCCCAGTGCACGGTTTATAGCTACAGCACTTTTGTACTTTATGCTTGTACTTTATAATTTATGTCTATATTAAACTCGGAGGCGGGTGGTCTCATTTTGACCCTAAGAGCTGCTTTTACAGCACATCAGTACTGGGGCAGAAAACTGTACTTGAAAAAATGTTCACAATTGGTTTTATTAATTTTTCAGAATTGTAATTCTAATTTGCTAATTTAACATTTTATTAGCAAATCGACGGTGAGGCCTTTCTGCTGCTCACACAAAGTGATATAGTCAAGATCCTGTCAATCAAACTGGGTCCCGCCCTCAAGATCTACAACTCCATCCTGATGCTGAAGAACGCAGACGAGGAGTAGAGACCCAGCTCTGGGCTCTAGTGACTCAAATCTAGACTTTTAATACAAAGAGACTTTAGTTGTTTTTTTTCTGCCCTCACCAACGTGTTGAGAGCTACAAGTGGAAGCCATTTTCCTCCCCTCTCCTCTTCTCCATGACGGACAGCGCGGCTAACCCGAGGAAGTGGATAACAGAAGAATACCTGCATTGTGTATGTTTACGTAACCATACCCCTATATGCACCTTTTAATAATATTTCTGAACATTGTACAGTTTATTAATTAACTGTTTTCCTCTCTAAAATGGTGCTTGGGCTCAGAGCAGACGGATCAAGCATCTTGTTGTCACGGCTTTTAGAGGGCAACTGTTTTTTAAAATGCTGCAGATACAATCGTGAGGAGGTTACGATAATGTGACCGCGAGACCAGTGACAAAGCAGGGGGTTAGTTTATCTGAATGCTTAAAGCTGCAATGTGTAACTTTTCTGGTGAAGGGTCCACCACCTGCTTGCTCCACGGAGATGTAATTGTTTGACCTGGAATGTTCCACAATATGGCATTAACATGTTTTTCTCACATTTATTCAATTACAGCGCATAAAAAATACCTTGAAAACCTGCATTCTTATTGGATCGCTTCTTCATAGATTTGACTTGTGGATAAGTTTAATGCCATACTGTGGAACATTTCAAGCACAGCAATAAGTGACAACCTTATACCACCCAAAGTTACCGAGTGGAGCTTTAGATTTTCTGTTCAGGAGTGCTGTGGAAGAGTTATTGGCTCATTTGAATACAGTGTGTGTGACGTGATCTTGTGTTTTTATGTCGGTGTGCGTAAGTGTGGCAGTTCTTCACCAGCCCATTTCACTGAGGACATTTATCTCAAGGGCAAATTGAAGCAAGATTTTGGTGGAAGAACCCTTTATTTGTGTTTTACATTTCTGAAAAGGCACATGAATCTGAATGTAAAAAAAAGCTGTGTTTCATTTTTGTTGGTTTGAAAATATTTTGACTCTACACATGTAAATAACAGATCAGATTAGAGACCTCATGTAACTTTCCATCAGATTGAAGTGTTCCTGTTGGATATGCAAATGTTCTGGTGGCAGGACAAAACTCTGAACTTGAAATTTGCGCCTCTGTTCCTGCAAAGATTTTAGAAAAAAACAAAACAAAATCAATGTCTTGTGAAGCCGTGTTTTCAGCGATTGGAATGTAACGACTGTATCTGTTTATAAGCAAACAGCTTTATTTATGTATTTAAAGGTACGAGGATCTGGCTCCGAGAGGCTGTGGCTGAACGTGTGAATGGGTGAAATAAATAAGGTGGACACTACAAGGGTTTCCAGTTATTTCAGAGAGAGTGATTGAAATTTCATGCAGCAAGAACTAAGAATTACACATATTTTTGAATAACAGGATCAAAGTTGCTAGCCAGGCTGGTGCTACCCAGTGCCTCCGCTCAATTTCATTTCTCTGCAGCGACTAGGTCAGGAATCGGAATACATTAGAGGGTTTGCAAGAACCCCTGAAGTGTGAGTCCGGGCACCAGTCAATCAGCAAAGAGCCATACGTTCTGTTTTGGCAACGATTCCCGAGATTGAGGATTTAAAGTCGGAACAAAAAGAATGTTTGGAGATTTATCAAGGGGTAAGACGTTATTGCCCTTCTTCCTACGGGATTTGCTAAAAGCTTAATATACCAGTTAGTCCTGTTAGTGGCGCATTACATACATCACGACCAAATAGCAGGGATTGGTTGAATTTAAAAAAGTACCTGCCTACTGTCGAGCGAACGAATCCTAATGCTGCGAGACCAGATGGATTCCACCAAGTAAAACACAAAGTATTCACATTTTTTTGCTGTGGCATCTTTGAAAAAATATTTGTATTAAATCACTGAACAAGCAACAACACGAATTCATCTTAAAAGGTGTAAGTTTTGTAAGGTCCAATAGGGCATTACATTTCTATACTGTATCTCCATGGTTACAAGCAGGGGACACCACTAAGATCTATGGAGACGTGAATCCACTCGCAGTAAGTATGCATGGTTTTCTAGCAATGAAACATCTAAATGAACTGATGCAAGATGGTAAATGCCATACAGCGTAACATTTCAGGCAAAGCATCTCAGTGGAGACAAGCAGATGGTAGTCACTCCATCGGAAAAGTTACGCAGTGCATCTTTAATCAATGTCATTTCATTATAATGCACACTAAACTAGAGTGACCAGACGTCCCTATTTACCCGGGACAGAGTCAGTTTTGAGCCCTGTGTCCCCTTGTCCCAGCAGATTTATCCAAAACCACTTATTTGTCCAAGTTTTACACAAGAAATGTCCCTATTTTTGACCAATTTGATACCTGCCAACAGTAAAGAGGCATAAACTATCATTTGTTGAGGTAAACTACAGAAATGCTGCTCAAAAATCAAGAAAATGTGGCTATACTGACTTCAAGTTAGTCATGAACGAGTCGAGTGCATGATAATTTTCCTTAATTACGCACTCGTTTCACAGTTCTATTATTATCAATCCCCACAAACCGGGGGTGTCCCAGTTTTTGCTTTAGAAAGTCTGGTCATCCTACACTAAACTGAATTAATCTCTCCTCCTAATTACCCCCTGTAATGCTGTAACCCTACCCTACCCCTGGACTTACGTAAGGATCATGGTGTTTTCTGGAGTTTATATAATTAAAATAAATAAAAATGGTTATGTTGACATATTGGGCCAATTATGTTTCAAGACATGTACTTGAGACGGGACTTTTGGGAATAGTTGTAGAGGTATCTCAGAATAACCGCGTTCACCGTGGGACTGGCCTGCGCCGGGCTCATTCCCACGACCCCCTCCTCTCCGCACACTAATCAAAACATGAGCTGCAAAGCGCACAACACGCAGCGAGCGCAGAGACGAAGAGGAGAGAGCCAGGGACCAGCTATGCACCACTTTCCCAACAACACCGCTCTCCCCTTTACAATCTTTTACCCCCCTGCGTTATTTTGGCACTCTTAGATTACGCACGGCAACACAAAAATCCGCACACTGAAGCTCGTCATGCGTGAACGGGACTTCTTGGGAGGAAAAAGTGGATTTTATTTCGCGACAAATCAAGAAGTGTGCAGGGAATTACGAGAATAGTGCAACTCGGGATTATTCGTGTTGATAATGCAGAGGAGACAGTTTTTGCTGCGGGAATGCGACCAAAACAAGGCAAGTACACTGTCTGAATGTTAAATTGAGAGTGGAGGAACTGCAGTGTTGTGTAGTCAGCAACAGTGTACGCCAATCCACCGGTGAATTATGACTTACTTGGGTCCAGTTATCGCGTCTTGATCGTCCTGTTGCTTAATTGGACATGGGCACCGATCACAGCAAGACCCCAAAAATAAACATATGACTATTCTTGTTAGTGATAATGTAGTGATACAAAGGGGGGGAGTTCAGTCAATTTGCGGTGATGTGTGGGCGCTTTATACAACTCCAGGGACATGAGTGGAGCTGCAATGGGCTCGTTTTCTCCCATAGACCCCCTTATTCTTATTATGAAGATAACGGGACTTAATGATGTTAACTTTGTCTGCCCAGTCATTTGTATTTAGAAATCAAGTGTTGGCCAATCATTTTGTGTTTTATACTGTGATCTTAAACATGTTTTAATAGAAATAAGTCTTCTCACCAAATGATCAATTATTTAAAATTCATCAGTAACACTGTATTTTAGGAAATGTTTCAAATAGGCTTTAAAGATTTAAAAGTGGTCGTTTTATAACCAGAATGTTGATCAGTGGATACTGTTGTGTCCCTGGGCAAGACACTTGTGGGAGTGAGTCATTGGTGGTCAAAGAGGCCGATATGGCTACAGTAGTTCACCGTGTGTGCGTGTGTGTGTGTGTGTGTGCGTGTGTGCGTGTGTGGAGTGAATGAATAATACAATGTTCAGTGACAGAAAGTGCTTTAAAACACTATGGTGTTATTAAGTAATAGGAAAAAGCAGTAATTTAACAGAATTTTTAGCAAGGTTCTATTGTTAAAGCTGCAAAATTTAACTTTTATGATGGACGCTCCGCAACCAGCTTGTCTCTGGAGATGTTATTGCTTCACACATGATGCCACCAGGTCATGTTACAGGTAAGATCTGTGGAGAGGTGAGCCTGGTCACAGTGAGAATGCGTGTTTTTCAAGACATTTTTAGCCACTAATACTTGTAATCAGGGATGTAACAATAACCAAAATGTCGTGATATCGTATCGTGATATTGGATGTCACAATATATCGAATCACAAGTTTCTTTGCTTAAAGGAATTGTTTTATAGTAGCAACACCTAATAAACATAAGGAACTACATATCCCATGATTCATTTCAGCACAGACAACGTGAAGAGATATGTTTTTTACTTGAATTCTTGGGATTATGACAGTAATAATTCAAACCAAAATCTTGTCAAGGTATTTTAAAAACAGAAAACTGTCCTATCTACAATTATATTAGCCTCTCCAAAATATCGCAATAAATATCGTATCGTGAGATGCCTATCGCGATAATATCATACCGAGAGATATGGATATCGTTGCAGCCTTACTTTTAATTTTATAATGTAACATGGTTGAATAAGTTTAATGTCACACGGAGGGCGAAAGTAGCTCAGTTGGTAGAGCGTCCATTTATCTGAAGGTTGTTGGTTTGAATTCTGCTCTTGTGCTCTGCTCGTTGTGTCCTTGGGCAAGACACTTACTCCACCTCGTCCCCAGTGTTTGCGTACACTGGTGTGTGAATGTGTGTGTGAATAGGTGAGTGGTTCCTTGTTGTAAAGCACGATGAGTGGCTTGAAGGTGGAAAAGTGCAGTATAAACATGTGACCATTTACTGTGAAACATCCCAGGTAAAGCAACAACATCTCCATGGAGACAAGCAGGTAGCGAACCCCCAACTCAAATAGTTACATCATGCCTTAAAAGATACTATCATACCTGTTGTTCGTACGTATTGTTTTACAGCATAACTTAACTTTATGTGTGTGTTTTTTCTGTCTAGTTTAAAGCCAGAGGATGACTGCTGCTGCTAGTCCTGTGTGTAGCCCCTCCTCCTCCAAATCCACCCAATCATCTTCCTCGTCTGCTGCTTGCCCCACCTCCTGCCATCGCCACCCGAAGAAAACCCTCCGCACCCGCTTGCCCCTGCGCTCTGCCCCCGGGGTGTGGCTCATGCTGGGGGTCTGCGTGGTCCTGGTGGGCATGTGCGTCGCTGTGGCGGGATACGTCTCCGCGCCCCCCAAACCCGCCGTAGGAGGGCGAGGCAGCACGCACGTGGAGAGGATGAAGCTGGCCGGGCCTATCGTGATGGGCATCGGCTTGTTCATTTTCATCTGTTCGGCGACGTTGCTCTACGAAAACAGGGACAGGGAGGTGAAGCGGCAAGAAAAATTTGACGATCTCGAGGATTTGAAAGGAGGAGCGGGATGGGAGGATAGTTTTGGAGGTCAGGATGGAGAGCAGGCAGCATGGGCAACTCCGGCGCATTTACTTCCCCTCTCTCAAAATAACAGTGGCTCTCCTCCTCCTCCTCCTCCTGTACCAATAGCCCAAAGAAGCAACCGATCAGTTACACCTCTTCTTCAACGGGGAAGTGAAGAGCAGGACACACAGCGAGGAGCAGAGAAGGGGCAGACTCTTTTGGCTTGTGTTTTGTACCACCAAGAGCCCCGACCTCAGTCCCCACCCTCCCCCTGCCCCTCAGTAACTCGGTCTTCTATCTGCTCGGACTCCTATAACTCTACGGAGGTCAACTATAACAAACGGACAGCATCACCTCTGCCAGCAGAACTTTGAAGAACAATAATGTGCTCTGTGTTAGTCAAATTAGAGGTGGGCGATAGCACGAGAATTACATATGGTTTAAGAATTGTATTGATTTTTTTTGTTCAATGTGTGGCTTTTTACTGCCTTTAATAATCAGAGGTGGGTAGTACTCAGTTAGATTTACTCAGTTAAATACCATACACCATACTTTTACTCCTACTTGAGTATTGTATTTTACAGTGTAGTGCTTTTACTTAAGTAAAAGTTTTGGTTACAATGTTGGGTTGCCAAAAGTATAAAAACTAGTACAAATTAGTAGTGAAACTAGATTCATTTGAGCAACATACTAAAAAAACACATTTACAGGACAGAAATTAAACTTTTCCATGACTTTGAGCTGAATCCGAGCAAGTATAGGACTACACAGACTAGTATACGCTGTGGATGACTGAGGGATTACACAGATAAAAGAAAGTACTATTATCTGATACTGAAAATCACATTCATTGTCTAAAGAAACAGTGTTTTTCTAATTTTTGTGGTATTGGAATCAGTATCACGTTGTGAGTAAGTACAAGGGACAAAAGCTTTATGTTGACAATATGAAATTATTTTAAGATTTATGTTTCTTGCACTGCTCCCTCAGCTGTGATTTAGTTTTTCATTTTCGTGGTCTGTCCTTTGAAATTACCAGACTTGTTTGCTAGTAGTTTCTTGAAATATATTTTTATTCTTACTTGAAACTTTCCTCTACCACTGCTAGTTACTTCTACTTTATTTTGAAGTAACTTTACTCTGACTTGAGTACAATCTGGTTGCTCTACCACCTCTGTTAAGAAATAACTCTAGCTATTTTCTTCTTTTGAGAGTTTACGCTTCACTGTGATTGGTTAAATCCACCTGTCACTCACTCCTCTGATAATGACAGAGGCTGATCAATAGGAGGAGTGGGTGGGGAAAAGTGTCTGAGTTTCAGTTTACAGTACTGAATTAAACAGGAAAGCACCAAAATCACGATATACTGATCTCTACAGATTGGCAGATCATCACAGGGTCATATCACAATGGTATTTAAACATTTATAACGCCCACCCCTAATTCAAATTCATTTATTTTACATGCAGATCTGAAGATGAAGCATTCCTGAATAAACAAAGTGTTGCTGGTGGTGCAATCTGACTCAGTCTCTGCAGAAATGCTGTTTTGTCCCACATTTTGCTCTGACTCAGCCGTAGATCGACGCGCGATGCCTTTTGATGTCAACTCACGATTCGTCTTTTGGAACGGGCTCTGTAAATCCCTTTAAGACAATCCCTATTTGGCCATATTAGGACTGCAGGAAGGATCGGAGAGGATATCTGCCCGCTGGGTGTTGCACGCTCAGGTAGTAGCAGCATCTTCTACTTCTGCTTTAACTGAAGAGGCTCACTTAAGAGGCTGAGCAGGATTAGACTTTAAATCAGTCTTTATCTAATCTTCATTCTATAATCTGCTTTTTATCTCAAATTGTGTTTCACTGTAAACAGGACAAACATGAGCTGTCCAATAATCGCAAATGCCCTTCACTGTTATAGGAAAGTGACAAAAACAAAACAAAGTATATATTTCTTGAATCTATTTTACCACAATTAAAGACACTGTACCTGATTTTTAGTGTCTTAAAACATGATAAAACAGAACTTGTCCATTTTGAACAGTTTGTAATACTCATTTACCTTATCTTAGCATGCTAACACACACTTCCTCATTATCAGACAAAAAATGTTTTCTAATTAGACGCACACACGGACATATTGTGACGTGATCTCTTCTGAAAGATCAATGTGATAGGTTAAAGGTTTGGTGACCTGCTTTTCTCCATGGTGATAGGGCTGGGTATCATTAAGAAGTTGAGCCGATACGATACATAACTCGATACATAGACCACGATACGATACATAACTCGATACATAGGACCACGATACGATACATAACTCGATACATAGACCACGATACGATACATAACTCGATACATAGACCACGATACGATACATAACTCGATACATAGGCCACGATACGATACATAACTCGATACATAGGCCACGATACGATACATAACTCGATACATAGGCCACGATACGATACATAACTCGATACATAGGCCACGATACAATATATACCTCAATACAGTGCACTTTCGATTCAATACGATATATTTCAAATCAGTTCACTACAGAAAAATTAAAACTAAAGGATAAATCGTGACTGTGATACTAAAAGTCTTTGTTAAACTACTTGTGCAAAGTGAATATGAAATAGAAACCTTTTAATCATCAAAACAGTGAAAATGTCAAATATGTCGCATAAACAAGTTTCCTTCTTCTGAACAAGCAACAAAACTGTAGCGCTGTAACAAAATAATGTAGTAAAATATACCAAATATATCAATACTGTATCAGCACATTAAACGATACAATATATCAATATTCCAATATTTTTGCACACCCCTACATGGCGACGTTATCTCTTTACCTGGAATGTTCCACTAAACATGATTTATCCATCATCATGGAGACAGGCAAGTAACCGAACCAGGTAAAGTTCCAGGTCTGATCCGTGGAGAGACGTGCCCAGGTCACAGCGAGAATGCATGTTGGTCAAGGTGTTTTGTACCAATAAAACATCTATGACTGTATATATGTTACTTGCGTTAAGATAAGTTTAATGCCAAACTATGGAATATTATAAGCAAGCAATAACATCTCTATACAGACAAGCAGGTGGTGGATCCTCCATCAGAAAGGTTACATCATGCACCTTTAATTTTAGCTGTCACTTATTTAGAAAGACTCTGGCCAAAAGGAGAAATGTCTGTGTTTGAGAGTGAAACTGCATTAAACAGAAAGCAGTCTAATCTATTTTATTTTACAATATCACCCACTTCTAGCTCAGCAACTCCAACTCAGCTCAGTGCAAAACACGCTTGCAGTATTTTAATGATTCATATATTTTAAATTCTCACTTTAAAAGGTGGTTTGCCACCTCCAAACATGATGGAGTGAGATCCTAAAGCATTTTAAATTACAACAGTCATTGAACAACAGTGAGTTGCTCTGACAGCAGCTCTGTGAAAAACCTCTCCCACAAACCTGACCTTTCATCTGCTCATCATTCCTACGCTTTATTCAGATATTACACCACTCCAAGATCACATAACTGCACAACAATCCAAATAAACAACAATTTGGTATTTAAAACAGGCTTGAAAACTAAAGAGGATTTTAATTATCAGCAGCATTCTCCTTCTAATTACGCTGGGGATGAGGCAGAGGGTTTTATAGGTGTTTAAGGACTAGTTTTAAGTTGTTTTTGTTTGGGTTCCTGCTGGGTTCCAGATGATGACTTGAGACTGGAGAGGGGAGTCATTGAGCCACAGCCACACATTTTCCCATTTACAGAGAAAAACACCAGGTGGAAGTTTAGTGGCTTAACTTGTAACTTTTTCCATTAGCGTTTGTGTAACATATTTGTGCTAATAAGTAATTAAGTAAAACATCTTTTTAAACTCGACCACCTTTGGACACACTAGCATGGACATGAATTTAATGTTACTTTAAAGGTCCTATGTTACACAAAGAGGATTACTGTGAGCTTTAACCCATGTTATAATGTTGTTGCCTCTTCATAAACAAACCCGGAGTTTTGTTTTGTTTCATTCACACAGTCACACACTCTGTCTACATCTCCAAAGCTCAAAATGCTCTAACTGATCCAACTTGTGATGTCACAAACTGGTAGTTTTCACATTAACACCTTTTACCTTTTACCTTTTATGTTTGGTTCAGTAGAGATTGGCAATTCCAGAGCTGAAATTATCCACATGATTCTATTGAAGGTAAATGGAGTTTAAAAACACATCATGTTTTCAGTTTAGGGTGTCAGCCTTGATCTGTGTGAAACAAAATAAAACTCCACGTATGGTTTTGATGAGGAAACAACATTATAACATCAGAAAATAGCATAATATAAGCCCTTTAAACCAGTAAACAACATTCTAAAAATTAGAGTCCAAGAAATTACTCAAGTAAGAGTAAAAAAAAGTACTACTCAAGCAAGTATAACTTAAAGAGTAACTGTCGGCACTCAATATTCAATTTCTGATTTGAAAGGATACAAATGTGAGGAAAATATATAATCATGTCTTGAAGAACTGATGCAGAGTCACACACAATTTAATATTGCCATTTGTCACTAGACTTAGTCACAGTGAGTAACCAAAACCTTTACACGAGTAGGAGTATAAGTAGGGTGCCTGAAAAGTTTTCTGAAAATCTCACTCCAGTAAATGTAACAGAGAGGCGGCACGGTGGCTGAGCAGTTAGCACTTATGCCTCACAGCAAGAAGGTTCCAAGTTTGATGGCGGAGTTTGCAAGTTTCTCCCTGTGTCTGGATGGGTTTCCTCCAGGCGCTCCACTTTCCCCCATCAGGCCAAAACATGCTACATAGGTCTCCAGGAAGAATAACTGATAGCTGATAGCGAAGGTCAATTAAATACAATCAATCAGTGATCCTGCCCAGGGACGACAGGTGGAAATTAGCACTGGTGCTACAACCTGGTACAATGCATCTCTCCAGTTAAGGTTAATGTATATTGTGCACTCTCCCTGACTCATTAAATAAATTAAACTATAAATAAATAAATGTAACTTTTTTGATTGATTTGAGAGTGACTAACTGAAAAACCGTTGGACTAGTTTAACAACATAAATCAGTTCACCTATAGTTCCAGCTAAGTCCGTCCTTTGTAAGAAAACAAAACAAAGCTCAGATTAAAGTCTAACTTGAGTAACAGAACTTTAGACACAGCAGTGCCCACAGTCAGCATCACACCCCCAGGGCATGGTTTTGACATCAGCGTCTTGCCCCCCCACCGAGTCGCTGGTGGTAATGTAAATGTAGTTTCTTGACTGGATTCCCAACTGCCTCCTCCTCACTTCTCACTCAGAAATACAGCTCGCTCCTTCACACATCCACCACCAGAGCCTCTCAGTGTGAGCTCTGTTCAAAATTAGCACGTTCGTTACTTGTTAAAAAGAT